AATTGAACAATACTAAAACGCGCTAAATAGTAAAAATTGCCTTAGTTTTATATTGCAATATGTTTAAATATGTTGTGGTAAAGTTAAACTTGTGTTTGCAATACCTTTGATTTAATTGAAAGGAGTTAAATTGTGATTTAGTTTTTTTTAATCTATCGAGTCTAAAATTAAACTTGAGTTGCAAATTTAATTTTTTCTTATTTAACGTTACGTAGGACAAATCAAATATGGATAACGCCAACTAAGTTACTCAACAACCACTACTTTGGCATAACAACTATGTAATAGAATGTTAACAATACAGTAAGAGGTTTGGGTGTTCAAATCCTCCAATAATTCTGTCAAAATTCAAGAAACAAAACTTAAATGGCCTTTACTGCGTTCGTAGAAAACAAAGTATGTTTATTTTTATATTAATTTCGTACCTTTTTGTTTGTTCTCACAGACAAACTAGACCCCAAAGCTCTTGACAGGTGCCATAAAATTATATTTTTACTATAAGCTAAACCTGAACGTTTTCTCTCTAGTCTGCAGTTATTTCAGCAATCTTCTTCTCAGATTACTGCCCCTCCAAAACATCTCAAGTTGGGACAAGCTCAGTGGCGAACAAAAGGGGGGCGCGTGCATAAAAACGAGAATAATTAAACCAGAAGTCTAACTTAAGTTTTATTTAAGGTCTTAAAACCCGAAAGAGGCGCATAAATACGACATTAATCTTCGTTTTCAGCCATTTTCACAAAGTTTTCGCTCATCGGCCGCTGAGTAACGGGAATGGACAGATGCCACGGCGTTTACCTCAGTTTTTGCCAAGAATCCATGAAAGAGTTCGTCAAAACCGAATATCCGCCCCCGTCTGTGCTGCAAATCGAAAGAATCCTTTCACAAACTTCAGTTAATCGCAGGTTTACGCAAACCCCGACGAGAAGATTCCCCCAAAAGTGCGAGAGATCCAGTGCGCCGTGACGTCACAGCGCATTCCTGGCGCGAGGAGCCTCATCTCCTCTGCGGAGTGCGGGTTTGAGGAGGGGGAGGGGCGGAGATTTGGAGAAACCCCACAGGACACACATCCACAGGCCTACCGATGGCTCAGAATACCAGTCATCGACTAAAGCAGTTTATATTTTCCTTCAAACCGTTTAGTCTAATATGAGATATTATCCATAATGCTTCAACTTCTGCGTTAATATCTGATTTGTGAAAACTACAACAAAGAAAACTAAAGGTGTATATTCCTAAAAAGGCAGCTAACAGGATGGAAATAACTGAATGCAAAACAGGATGGAAGCTGACAGGAAATAAACAACTAATGTTTGCTCAGGGCTCGATTATTGAAGAGTAATTCTGTGGTTTAGCAAACAATCATTAAGGTGAGACAGAAAAGAGAATATACAACGTATGAGTTTAGTGTTTTATCTACTGTTGTATTTAGAAAAATGAAAATATCATAATAATAAAAACAACTTTTTCCTATGGAGGGCCCAAAACCAAATTGATTAAGGGTGGTGGGCCCAGAGGTAAACATATCAAACTATATTATGTTAAAACTGTCACGGTAATTTCCTAATTTATTCATTCATTTTCTTTTAGGCTTAGTCCCTTTATTAATTAGGAGTCGCCACAGCGGAATGAACCACCAACTTATTCAGTGTATGTTTTACACAGCAGATGCCCAGCCACAACCCATCATTGGGAAACACCCATACACTCTCATTCACACATACACAGGGACAGATTTAACCAACAAATAGGCCCAGATGGAATCTGCGGGCGCAGATTTCCGCAGATTTCCTCAGATTTTTAGGCCATCATTAAGTCTGTTTATTTACTTGAGTAAATGTGTGTAAATCTATATTTATTCAGTTTTTAAGTTAATTACAGTAACATTATTGACTAATGTGAAAATGTTCATCTGATTTATGTAAAATGGAGTTTGTATGGTAATATTTTCTGTCTTTTAGTAGAGATATTAGAGAGGCTTGCTTTGTTTACCAAATAAAGTGAATCTAATTGGATTTACATTTTAAACATTAAATAAAAGTAAAAAAAAAAAATATATATATATATTCCCATATTAAGATTTTAGTTATGATACTCCCAAAATAATTCTGCAGAAATCTGCAGATTTTTACCAAAATTCTCAGCAGAATATAAATAGCAGAATAGCAAAAAACGTCCGCAGATTCCATCTGGCCCTACCAATAAGCAAGGTAAGTGGCCGCTTAGGGCCCCAGGAAATCTGAGGGCCCCTAAATAAATACCTAGAGGTATAAATCATACCTATAAATATTAAACTAATAATAATATTTAGGAAAACAAATCATTTTAAAAGTTTTACAATATGCTTAACATGTTGTTATTATTATTTTGAATTAAGGCAAAATATAGAAAGGAGATAAAACAGCAAAATAAATCAATAAAGAATAAATTAAAATACAAACTTTTGGGCCCCATGGCTGGAATTGCCCCTGCACAAACATACACTAGAGACAATTTAGCTCACCCAGTTCACTTATAGCACATGTGTTTGGACTGTGGGGGAAACCAGAGCACCCGGAAACCCACACCAACATAGGGAGAACATGCAAACTCCACAAAGAAATGCCAATTGCCCCAACTGAGGCTCAAACCAGCAAACTTCTTGCTGTGAGGCGACAGTGCCACTCACTGTGCCATCGTGACGCCCTAATTTGCCAATGTATTATTTTAAAAAACTTTATAGTAAAACACATAATTGAATTGCATTAATAGTGATACATTTGTGTACATTTTATAATAAACTTCTTACAATAAAAAAAAAACATGGAGTTCAATGTTGAATACACATGAAACTGCACGATGTCTTCTGTCGAGTTTCAGTTTAAATTAAAAAAAAATCTGATTTATTCACAACATTTATTAGATACATTTTATTTGAATTAGCTTTTTATGTATTTGCTTTATAAACTATGTTTGTTTGTACTGAAAATTTATTATTTCTTAGTACAAATTTCCAAAAGAGTTTTTTGTTTACTCAACTTCAGACAGTAGGTCAGTGCATCTGATATTTTCAAAAGTTGAGTACAACTTCAGGCATTCAAGTTCTGCAGACAAAAAAAAAAAAAAAATCAGTTGGCAAAACTTAAAAAGATTCGATACAGAGTAGTTCACCTTTCCAGAAAACTAATAATCTTATGTTAGCTCAACTAAATGTTTTTTGTATTACTGACACAAATTTTAGGTCAGTACAGCTGATTGTTTCAAAAGTTGAGTGAACAAGAAAAAGCGAAAGAAAATAAGAATAATGTTTTTTTTTCGTTGTTGTTGTTGTTGTACAGACTTTTTTTTTTTTTTACAGTGCATTCCCCTCAAATATTCCAATACTTGTGCTCATCATATATGAGAACACCCCTCACAAATCTCTCTTTTAAATTAAAATTTTTAATAGGAAGCTATACAATATTATATTTGTACACATTGTACTAGATTAGTCAGCACTGAAGCCAAACCTGGAGCTTATCTAACAAAAATAACCTACGAAAACGGTTCAAAAACTAGTATACCCAAATTTATATGTTATAGAAAAATATTAAATACAAATTTTAAATGAGGAAAAATTAAGAGAAGCAAAAATGTTTATGTTTAATCTCATTTGAAATTTTGTAGGTTGTATTTTTTTATTTTTTTTGCAATATTTTGCTTGAATTTAATTGTATTATCTTTGCATTTTTAAATATGTTTGGTGACTAAAATATTATTTTAAAACGGTGATCCAGAGTGCATTTTTAAAGCTTGGTTGTGTTTATGGGACGCAAAGCAGTGTGTGCTCAAGCTTCATTTGTGAAAAATCACGTTAATTTTTCATATGTCTTACTTTAATTATACCGCTACTCAGCTAACATGAAAACGTCATATTTCCTAGTTTCTCCAAAAAGCCCGCCCTCAAGAGACTTGATTGGTGAACTAACATAATGTTGAGATTCGAGTATCGATGATAAACTGTTAATTTAAAGTGTATGCACATAAAGATGTGCTATTTATGACTTGTCCTTATCCTTTTGTATATCATGGGGTGCTTAAAATCACAAAGCAGGCTTTACTTTGGACAAAACCATTTTGATGGTGTTGAAAGCACTCAGGTAAACCTCATTTTCAAGTGGATGACTTGCTAAATACCTAAAAATAAAAGTATTTATCTAATAAATACACCTTTTTCTAGTTTTCCTAAGTCTGTAAAATGTTTTTAGCAAGTAGACATTGAGAGTAAAAATATAATTATCTTTAAACCTGCGTTCAATATAGTCAGGAAAATATTTTCAACAATCAGTTCATCAGAAATCTTCCTGACATGATCAGTTAGTGAAGGACTCCATCAAGTGGTGTTTATTAGTAGTGTTTCACCTCTGAAGATCCCAGTTCTGTGATTCCTCAGTTGATTGAGGTTCCTCAGATGTTCCTTTACAATCTTTTGCAGCTTTTTATTATAGCCTGTTTACATTTATTGTAGCATTAACACTGCAATGTAATGTTTAGACCAGTGAATGGAAAGCTGTATGCAAAGACTGTGAGGTGCATATCGACATTTTCAATGCAGCCACAATATTTAGTTTGAATACACATGAACAATCAAATAATGAGACCATCATAGCCTCTATGCCTGGATTCTTTAATTGTTCTTAATAGCAATAATGTTTTTTGTATCCATAGAATTTTTACCCCACAGTGTATTATATTTAATAATTAAAATTTGTATATTTCTTTCACACACAAAAATTCACATACAAATCCACAGGAAATAAAAATCATTTTTAAATCTAAAACAATTCAATTGATATAAATTGTCCATTGTGTATGTGTGTGAATGAGTGTGTATGGTTGTTTCCTAGTGATGGGTTGCAGCTGGAAGGGCAGCGTAAAACATATGCTGGATAAGTTGGTGGTTCATTCTGCTGTGGTGACCCCAGATTAATAAAGGGACTAAGCTGAAAAGAAAATGAATGAATGAATGGCTACTTCACTGAACCTGATTTTCCTATATGTGCTACTTTATTTTTTCTTAGTTATGTTTTGTTGATCATTGACCTTCATTCCTATGCGAGAATTAAATCCAAACCTAACTCCAACCCCTAAACCTCACCCTATATATTGCTAAAATCAGAGGGAAATAACAGGTGAATAACAATAATGAAGCACTAATCCTTATTTTTATTGAGAAGTAACTGTATACTGTCCCTCTACTGTCCCAGGCCGAATGGAAAGCTGTTCAAGGAAGAATAAAGATGTTGATCCAGAAACATATTGCATTGTATAGGTCAAACAACAGAGTCTAGAAGAGGCCAGGCAGGCCGAACAGATCTTGAAGACTGACTTTCTTGAGTTTCTGTCCTCCCCCGACTGGCTCTGCTCACTCTGCTGGCTCTCCTCTTGCTGTAGGACTGCTGCGACGGAGGAATCACCACTGTCGTGGGTCTGGAGCCCATCATGTATGTCCGTCTGGTCCGAGCTGTCAAATAGGTTGGTGGTTTTCTGAATTGTTTACTAAAACTGATTGGAGAAAATGGAAGACAAACAATTATTAATGTAACCACATTTTTATGCTTGGCAAATAGTATCTTGTCATTGCATTGTTTCCATGATGTTAATAAACCAGACCTTTGGGGAAAAGCCTCTTTTCCAGAGAAATAGCCCATGACTCCACTTCCACCTATAATCAGACACGAGCCTCCCCAGCCGATGAAGAGAGCTGCACCAAGCTCATACCTGAGAAATAAGGGTAAAAAGGCAGCACATCTTTTGAAACATAATTGACATTTTTCATATTATAATAAAAAAAAATATATAATATGAAATATAAAAATTAAGGAATAAATTTTATATATATATATATACAGTTGAGGTCAGAATTATTAGCCTCACTTTGATTCTTTTTTTAAAATATTTCCCAAATGATGTTTAACAGAGCAAGAAAATTTTCACTGTATGTCTGATAATATTTTTTCTTCTGGGCAAAGTCTTATTTGTTTTAGGTTGGCTAGAATTAAAAGCAGTTTAGAATTTTTTTTAAAAACTATTTTAAGGACGAAATTATTAGCCCCTTTAAGCTATTTTTTTCTGATAGTCTTCAGAACAAACCTTCATTACAATAACTTGCCTAATTACCCTAACCTGCCTAGTTAACCTAATTAACCTATTAAGCCTTTAAATGTCACTAAGCTGTATAGAAGTGTCTTGAAAAATATCTAGTCAAATATTATTTACTGTTATCATGGCCAATATAAAAATAAATCAGTTATTAGAAATGAGTTATTAAAACTATTATTGGGGAAATAAATAAACAGCTGGGCTAATAATTCTGACTTCTACTGTATATTTTATATTTTACTTAACTGTGAATCCATTTATAAAAGAAAACTGCTATTGCACATAAAAGATTTTTTCATAGTTTAAAAATCATCAAACTTCTATTTATAAAATGCAGAATTAAATGTAATGAGATAATTAAATGTAAAATTAATACAAATATCAGTTTAATATTAAATTAAAATCAAGAAGTTGTATTAAACAAACTATACACATTTTAATACATAACATTTTATTTTATTGAGGACCACAAAAACTACTATTGAAATTTATTTTCAAGATTAAGAATCATCAAATTTTCTGTTAAATATTATTAATTAAAAAACTAATGTAAAAAGGATAAAAAATGTATTATTAAATGAAATGAAATTGATTGAAGTAAATTGGTAAATTAGATTGTGGTCATCAGTAACAAATCTATTAGATCACCTGATAAAAGAGAAAAGTGTTCAATTAATCTGTCAAAAACTAAACTAAATATATATATATATATATATATATATATATATATATATATATATATATATATATATATATATATATATATAATGTAATTGTTAATGAATTATATTCAAGTTTGAGCCCGTACATTCAACTTTACTCAGAAGTAATAAATCGAGTGCCGAAATAAGAAAATAAATTGAAGAAAAATAATAAATCGAGTGAAACATTCATTCATTCATTTTCCTTTGACTTAGTCCTTTATTTATCAGGGGTCGCCACAGCGGAATGAACCGCCAACTATGCATATGTTTTATGCAGCGGATGGCCTTCCAGCAGCAACCCAGTACTGGGAAACACCCATAAACCCATACTCTTACATTCACAAGACACAAATGTTTACCCAATTTGCCTTTACCGCATGTGTTTGGATTGTGGGGGAAACCAGAGGGGGAGAACATGCAAATTCCCCACAGAAATCCCAACTGGCCCAGCCAGGACTCGAAGCAGCGACCTTCTTGCTGTGAGGCGACGGTGCTAATCACTGAGCCACTGTGCTGCAGCAACATTCAGCAAATAAAGCTTATTTTTCTGCCAATACTGTAAAAATGACTGCAACTGTAAAACTTTTCTTCTATTACTGCATAAGTAATGCCTAATTACGTACTTTAAATCCAAATAATATGGATCCAGATATTCAGAGCGTGATTTCTCTCCCCACCAGGAATAAACTGTCATTCCAGAAAGCCCTGTGAAACACACCAGTACATCAGCGTATGAGGATCAATTGATGAATTAAGCAAGAATCCCCTTAAAAAAAGTTCATACCTGATGCCATGTATGTCAATGCTGCAGCAAATGTGATTCTGGCGTTGACCAGTTCAGATCCTCCGATTTTGGTACATTTCATCCCAATGAGAGTAAGAACAGCCCCCCAAAAGCCAAAGATCACAGCGATGACAGCAAGAGCCCTGGAGATGTGGAGGAAAGCTAACAAACACACAGAGATAATGCTGATTTTACAACAATCTCTCAATCTCCTGATTGAGACACTGCTTTATATAAAGTATATATGACTTTTACTGTTTAAAAATAGTAAAAACAGCACTACTACACAATGTAAAAAGTTTTATGTAAAAATAATATGATCAATAAGTCATGACAACATATTTGTTCATGTTTTAAGTCAGTTTTTATATAATTTAAGTTTAAATGATTTGTATAGTACACTGTAAAAAATACATTATTTTATTATATCTGGGGTGCCGAAAAAAAAAGTAAAATAACAGCTGTTAAATTATAGAAATTTACAGTAAAATAGTGAACGTAAATTACATAAATGTACAGTAAAATAATGAACGTTAAATTACAGAAATTGACAGTGAAATGATGGACATTAAATTACGGAAATTGACAGTAAAATAATGGATGTTAAGTTACACAAATTTACAGTAAAATAATTAAAATTAAAGTACAAAATTGTACAGTAAAATAATAGTAATTTTCTTGTCATCTTAGTCCCTTTATTAATCCGGGATCGCCACAGCGGAATGAACCGCCTACTTATTCAGCACGTTTTTACGCAGCGGATGCCCTTCCAGCCGCAACTCATCTCTGGGAAACATCCACACACACATACACATACATACACACTCATACACTACAGACAATTTAGCCTACTCAATTCACCTGTACCGCATGTCTTTGGATTGTGGGGGAAACCAGAACACCCAGAGGAAACCCACGCGAAGGCAGGGAGAACATGCAAACTCCACACAGAAACGCCAACTGAGCCGAGGTTCGAACCAACGACCCAGCGACCTTCTTGCTGTGAGGTAACAGCACTACCTACTGCGCCACTGTGTGCAGTAAAATTCTGTGTGGAGTTTGCATGTTCTCCCCATGTTTGTGTGGCTTTCCTTCGGGTGCTCCGGTTTCCCCCACAAACCAATGGCATGTGGTATGGGTAAATTGAATAAGCTAAATTGGCTATAGACTAAGTAAGTGTATGCAGGAGTGTGTGGTGGGTGTTTCCCAGTGTTAGGTTCCGCTGCGTAAAATATGTGCTGGATAAGTTGGAGTTTCTTTCTGCTGTGGCGACCTCAGATTAATAAAGGAACCAAGCCGAAAAGAAAATGAATAATTGTATTAATATTATTCTATTTAAGATGACACAATATCTATTGTAATTAGGGTTGCAATTGTATTGTAATCCCAGGATTCCGGGAATTTTCATAGCAGGAAACTTTCCATGCATGGTAGTTTATGATGGAATATATGGGAATTAACAGGAATTAATGTAAATAAACTGGTAATTTATTAAATCGAAGGTTAACCTATGACGGAGTACTTCATTGTAATGGAAAAAAATATCTTACTGCATAATTTAAGTTAAATAACAACAAATTCTATTGCTATCGTCTCAAATCACATGCACACAGGACCGCATGCACCAGTATATTCTTGAATCCTGCACACAACATTTTTAGAAATGTCTATCTGTCCATTTAAATTACATAAATCTATTTTTAAACATAAAACATGCTTGTGCTGTGCACCAACATTTACCGTTGTAATAACAAATACACTGACTAAGCAAATAGTTGGAAAAAAACCCACACACACTAATAATATTTACATGTAGCTCTTAAACTTTTGTATTGATCTGTGAAAGAATAAAAGTTCCACTTACAATTAAATTGGTCAAAAATGTTGTTTTTAATGTGTTATTTGTGTTTACACTGTAATAACTTCTTGCTACATTAAATCTTTAGTTGAATCAAATGAACTTTTCTCAACTTACATCAATTAAACTGACTAAAATATTAAGTTAAACATCGTATAGCTTAAAAAATGAGTTGAAACCTGATTAATTAAAGTTAAAGCAACATAAAAACATTTGTTGTCTTGACTTTTTGCCATTATGTTTTTTACATTGTAGCCTATAGTTAAGGTTGTATCTACAGTAATTTCTCTACATTTCTAAGTAATTTAAATAAATTTTGCCATAAATTCCAGTAAATTTTTTCAAAATTCCTCAGACGAAGTTCCCACGGAACATCACCAGATTTTTTCCTCCCCTTTGAACCTTACCAGGCAGGTCCATCATGGAGGGAAAGTATTTACAGTCTGAAGCTCCTGTAGCATCTGAAACACAGTCCATCCAAAGGTTTGAGTAAAAATCACCGGCGGCGAGGACCACTTCAGCACTTTCTGACACGATCCAGTATTCAGTGACCATAGTGGAGCAGATTAAAACCCAGCCACTCAGACAGGACACAAAACAGGCGATCTCCACATACATGATCACTGTTCGACTGGCCATTCTGCCGGCACAAGCTTAATGAGCAGAGAAAAGTCAAAAACAGAGAGAGAGAGAGATGTGTAAAATGCTGAGAGCTTTCTCCTCCCATTTCCAGTGCCTTCATTTGACATTTCACAGCTTCAAACTGGTAAAACAACATGACTTCACTTCATCAGCAGTTTTTTATTCACAGAGGTTTTCTCACAATCCAGATGTATGCTAGAAAAAAGTGCTCTAATGTAATATTTACTGAACTAGAATAACAAAGTGAGCGTTTTTTTAATCAAACAAATATAGATAGATAGATAGATAGATAGATAGATAGATAGATAGATAGATAGATAGATAGATAGATAGATAGATAGATAGATAGAAAGATAGATAGATAGATAGATAGATAGATAGATAGATAGATAGATAGATAGATAGATAGATAGATAGATAGATAGATAGATAGATAGATAGATAGATAGATAGATAGATAGATAGATAGATAGATATAGATAGATAGATAGATACTGTATATATATATATATATATATATATATATAAATATATCATCATTGAGGCCCAGTAAGCAAGTCTTTGCTCCCAGTGGAAATGTTCATTTAAAAGGGCGTCGAGCTGCTGTCTACTCAAGTCCCAAAAATGCTGTATAAGAGGACAACTCCGCATACAATGATAGAAAGTTCTGATGTCCGATTTACATTTCACACGCAGCTCAGACAGACCTGGATTCATTTTATGTCTAACCTCAGGTGTATTAAAGGTCTATGTAAAATTTTAAATTGTCTTTCCCAAGCAGAATATGAAGCTAACACACCAAGAAGGTTGATACATCCAACCAGGAATCATTGTCAACACCATCCAGAGCAGCCACCCATTTACACTCAAGTCAAGGTCTCAGTTTTAATATTATTGCAGCAGACTAAAGAGTTTGAGCATTTATAGAGCTGATAAAACATCACAGCATGGTTATAATGATATTGTACATTGCTGTGGACACTAGTTATCATTATTATTATAGTTGTTTGTGTGTACTGTTTTCTTTCTTTTAAACAAATTGTGTGTTGTTTAGTACGTTTGTGAAGCAGTTGCTACTGAAGCATGTGTTATTCACTGTACCCATGTTGTCATACAGGTCAACTTGTTTTTGAAATATAATCTCCGACAGAATGTCAGCTGGTGATTGGATGGGAAAACTGGGAGCCCATTATAATTAAGATACTGATCTAACACACAAAGGTTCATGTGACATGAAAAGTGTGCACTATTTATGTATAAAAAGTGTTCGGCTGTTTCAGTGTGTAAAAAATGAAAATTAAAGATTAACAAGTATACATGAAGAAATCTGAACCAGTGTTAATTTGACTCATCTTTATTATTTTTATTTAATTTTTATTTTATTTACTACTTTTACTAAATTTAACAAAGCAAGGAAATTTTCACAGTATGTCTGATAATATTTTTTCTTCTGGAGAAAGTTTTATTTGTTTAATTTCATCTAAAATAAAAGCAGTTTTACATTTTTAAAATAATTTATTTATTTATTTATTAGCCCCTTTAAACTATATATTTTTTCGGCAGTCTACAGAACAAACCATCATTATACAATAACTTGCCTAATTACCCTAACCTGTCTAGTAAACCTATTTAACCCTGGGGGTTTGGCAATAATTCAGGGGAGCTATAATAATTATGACTTTAACTGTATGGAAGACCATTACCAGGTCATAAGACATAAAAAAAAAGTAATAATTATTAATAGTAATAATAATAAATGTGTAAATAAATAACAATATTTACAGTCAAGACTTAAACTTACTTAATTTAATTAATTTATTTTCTACCAGAGATGACACTGGCTTTGATTAAAAAATAATAAGACGATGTACAAGAGGCATATTGGGGATTTTTTTTCAGCATTTATTTACATTAAAACTAAACTTTAAGTCAGAGTTTGCCAGGGGTATGAATTACTTCAGGCTTGACTGTATGTAAAATACATTTATGGCATACAGTGCTCAGCAGAATTGAGTACTCCCATTTTGAAAAGGAATATTTTCATCCATTTCCAGGCAATATATTTTGGTGCATTTAAACAAAACAGATTTATTAAACAGATATATTTATTAAAATAATATTTAAGTCACCAAACATATTTAGAAATAGAAAGATAATAAAATTAAATTCAAGCAAAATGTTGCAAAAAATAAATAAATAAATAAATAAATACAACCTACAAAATATCAACAGTTTATTTTATCTTATTTATTTTTTTTGCTTCTCTTAATTTTTCCTCATTTAAAATTTGTATTAAATATTTTTCTATAACATATAAATTTGGGTGTATTAGTTTTTTGGAGTTATTAAGTTTTTTTGTTAGATAAGCTCTAGGTTTGGCTTTGATAATGACTTATCTAATGTTTATGCACAAATATAATATTGTATAGCTTCCTATTAAAAATATGAATTTAAAAGAGAGATTTGTGAGGGGTGTACTCATATATGCTAAGCACTGTACATGGGAGCATAATTTAAAAAATCATGCTTTGGTTAAGGATAATTATGACTCACTATGTTTTAATTGTAAGATATTAATTCACAATTATTGAACAACAGGTCAAAATGATATGTCAGTGAGAAATAGTTTGTTATAATGTGCCAAAAATTTGTCATTTATGCCATTCATTTTAGGAATTTATATCTTAATTTTAACATGTCACTTTTAAAATTATTTTATGTAGGAAATAAATCCGTCAGTGAATTCCCACAACATAATACATTGAATACGTATGAATTCACCGGCAGATGGCGCAATTCCACTTCCGTTCAAATGTTAATTTCTTACCAGCCGGATGAGAAAAGTGTTGGTTTTGCTGATGATGTCGCATTGAACATAAATATGATAACTTTAGTAGGGCTATGTAACATTAATACGTCGCACTTATGCTGTTTTAGAAGAGCAGTGTACACAAACATTCGTTTACTTTAGAAAACACAATGGCAACACAGAAGAGGACAAACTGACACCCGTAATGCATCCACCTAACGTTAAGCTTTCCTTTTTTTTACAACTACAGTAACTTTGATCAAATTACATACATTTAAAATATAATTCGTTAGATTACTGAATTCCTCAAAAATGTCATTAGAATACAGTAAAGTGTTACTGAGGAACGCGTTACTCCCAAATTTGTTGACAACGCTATAACTTGTCTAACACAATCATCTCAAATGAAAGTGCAAATGAAATCAAATCTAACCATATGATTTTGTTTGCTCACATTGCTTGTTTTGTGGTGAACAACTAATCTGTGCATGTCATGAAAAAATGTCAAATTACATTTGTCTGAGGTGTTGGGCGTGGCTTACATATTTAGCCCATTACGCAGCTGTAATAACTCTCCTGAAACCCATTTCCAGAACTTTCTGAATGTAATGCCTACTTTGCTACATACAATCGCAGTAGATGAAAACAAGCCACGCCCACTGTTTTCTTATTTCATATTCTGTTTCTCTATGGACTGCATCACAACGTAAAAAAAATGGTTGCAGCTTCCAGTTCATGATTACTTAAATTCAGAAAAACAAAAGGGACTTACAGATGCTCCTGCAGATCCAGGTAAGATCCGGGTCATCATTGTAGAGCTTTTTTATCCTTAATCGCTTCTGAATCTCCTACAGTGCAAACCTAAAGTTCACTCTGGCAGAATTTCACGAGCTCTTTTCTGGATCTGCTCCAGCCAGCTAAAGTGTTCCCATTAAAACCAAACAGACATCAGCGGCCAACCATCATTTCTCAAACGGCTCTTCCCGTTCTCCCTTCCTGGAATACTCAATTATCCGGCCCCTTATTTAATAAAACACAGCTTTAAAATGATCAATCTCAATGTGAGGCCGCCCAGATTCCTCTCCAGCACTTCAGCCACCGTTACACTGACATTTACGCACCATTTACTCACAGCGCACACTACTCTATGGCCACATTTAGGCCGTCATTTAGAGCCGTTTCCTCTTTAAAGGCTTGCAAAAGCTTCTTTGTGTGGAAAATTGTGGAAAAGAAACATTGTCCGTTATGTTCGGTGTAATGACAGCATGAATCAAACTCAATGAGGGAATCAGGCTGATGGTGCCAGCAAAGAATCCGTAATTATTAGATAAGGTCTGACCTTACTGAGATCCAGATACTTCATTCTTATTCCCTCGTTGATTCTGCCTTGAACTTATTGAAACTACCCCTTTAGGCTTTGATCCAAATAGTGTCATTTTGTTGACTGTCACTTTAAATTCAAATGAGATTGTGCTCTTTAAAAAAAAAGCGGAGCTACAACGGCCTGTGCATCAACATAGTGGCAGATTAAAAACAGGACTAATGTTTGTGCTTCAATTATGCGTCCTAAAACTCCATATTTCTAATTCTCTTATGGTGCGTTCACACCAAAAACGACTTGAACATGAACATTTTACTTGTTCAACTTCATTCGCATGTGAAATTCGCTTCACAATAGATGCAGATTCACTTCATGGGCAGGGCTTCTGCCTGTCCAGTGACTCTAGTCTTGTTGCTAAATGGCTAACATGTATTTTATTGAGAGAGTAGCTGTGCTTTATGTGCTTTAAGAAGGCTGAAAAACAGCATAGATTCATTCAGCGCTGTGTCTGAGTCCACTCAATCGTGATTTCAGAGGTGCACTCAGCTCTGTGAGTTTATAAACTCCTCCAGAAACTATACCTGCATGATGGAAGCTTACACCGGTGCTTTTGACTGAACCGAGTCCAGTTTCATGAGCTGTTGTCCGGTGTCAGCAGCAGGATTTTTCCTCGGGACACCAACAACAGGCAGTTTGTCATACTCACGCCATACTAGAGCGGGCTCCTGAGTGGTTAACACAGCTCGAATGTCAGCTAAAGTTCTGAGTTTCCAATCAACTGTTAAGCACATCAAATGAGCAAAACATTCAATTCACACCGATTCATATGCGCGAATTGCGTCATTTGTGCTGCCTCATTTGCACGAATCCTGTCATTTGTGCCGCCCAATTTGTGTGACTTGT